GGGTAATTCATGCTTTTATCACTTCTAGACTGGACTACTGCAACTCTCTTTATTATGGGATGGATCAGTCTTTGGTTCGTCGTCTACAGCTGGTTCAGAACTCAGCTGCCCGTTTATTAACAGGGACAAGACGTCGCCAACACATCACTCCGATCTTATATTCTCTTCAATGGTTGCCTGTTTCTTTTAGAATTGTTTTTAAGATTTAGTTTTTAGTTTTTAAATGTCTAAATGGTTTGGCACCTCATTATCTCACTGAGCTTTTACAGCCTCACATTCCAAGCAGATCCCTGAGATCTGTAAATCAAAAGCTTTTAGTTGTTCCCAGGTCTGGGCTTGTGACCAGGGGAGACAGAGCCTTTTCAGTTGCAGGACCTCGGCTCTGGAACAATCTCCCACTGTCTGTGAGGTCTGCTGGGTCTCTGAATGAGTTTAAGTCTCTGTTRAAAACTCATCTGTTTAAACAGGCTGAAGAGTCTGAAGAGCAGGATCATTAGACCAGCCTTTGTTTTGTTTCATTTTATTCTTCATTTTATCACAATAGTTTGTTTATTGTTTTTATTTTATGCTCCTGTACAGCACTTTGGTTTTTATTGTGCTTTATAAATAAACGATGATGATGATGATGATGATGATGATGACTTCTCTGAAGCTGAAACAACAAACATCTTTTCCAATCATTTTCTTTCTTTTTTTATGGTTTCTTAATGCCAGAAGGCTGTGATTTTAAGAAAATGATAGTTGTGTAGCATGGATGAGTCATATTTTCAATCCAAATGAACCAGTTAAAAGAAAATCCTCCAGGACTGGTGATTCCAGAGTTTTACAGTGGCTGTAGTAACATTTACTAATCCCACATCATATGAAGGTAAGGAACATTTTAAACTTTAATTTAAAGCATTTAGAGTTTGACATAGGGTTGGGCAATATTGGCAAAAAAATAAATCATGATTAATTGTGTTATTTAGCGGATAACGATTAATTTGACGTTTAATCCCCTGGAGTCCCTCATATTCTAGTCACATGACCAATTTAGTGGGAAAGATTTGCTCTTCATAAAATCTGTTCCAAATCGTGTCAAAATTACTTCAGGCACAATTGTAAATTGTGTTGATAGATAAATTACAGAACTTTTCTTTTAAATTCATCATATTTGAAGCAGAGAGGAGCAACGAGAGGATTCTGCCTGGTGACATTAATCGTATTAATCATCAAGTGCCAAAAAGTAATCTATTAATGTTTTTCTGACGATTAATTGCACATGATACGATTATGCCCAACCCTAGTTTGACATGTCAACTTTGGATGCAACTACATCTAGATGTTGGAACGTTTTGGTCCTTTACTGTGAAGTTTGGCAGCATTTAACAGACTAAACATAAATCTCATCTTAAACATTAGGAAAAAAAGTGTTTTCCCCACAATAACCCAACATCCAAGGATGTTTTATCATCGATTCAAAAGCTAACAGAAATAACAAAACATCACTTGCAATCAGAAGTTATTCTGTTTAAATCTAAATGTTTAAACATATGGTTTCAAAATGATTTAAGATATTCCTGACAGTAATTAAGACTTCTAAAATGTCTTTATATTTCTGATAACTTTGGCAAGAACTTATTTTAATACGTTGTATTTAAAGAGCAACAAACAACGTTCTGGGCAAAGATAACCAACTTTCTAAAGCTTGCCAACATATAAAAATATTACTAAAATATTTAAAGTAGTTCTGAGTCAGACATCTGATTCACTGGGTTAGTGATTAAAGTGACAGTGGCTATGTAAAAGCCACAAACACATAAGCGCGCGTGCATGCATGCATGCATATGCAT